AAAAAAAAAAAAAGATTTAAGGAAAGGTTCTTATGAGTCTGTGATATCAGACGATGAGTCTGTCTGTCACTCATTCCTGTGTTGAAGAATTGTTTCCTTCCTCTAATCTCGTTGAAGATTTTCCTCTGCTCTCCTTCACAAAGCACAGATTGTAGTCAAGCTGGGGGGTGGTGGCCCATGCCTATAATCCTAGCACTTGGGAGGCCAAAGCAGCAGATTGCTTGAGCTCAGGAGTTTGAGACCAGCCTGGGCAGAGAGAGACCCCCATCTCTACTAAAAGTAGAAAAAAACCTTGCTGGGCATTGTGGCAGGCACCTGTAGTCCCAGCTGTTCAGGAGGGTGAGACAAGAGAATCATTTGAGCCCAGGAGTTTGAGGTTGGTGTGAGCTATGACACCACAGCACTCTACTCAGGGCAACTGAGTGAGACTTTGTCTCAAAAAAAAAAAAAAAAGAAAGAAAGAAAGAGCTCTATCAAAACCTTCCTTGGCTTTCTTAAATTCTTTCCCATTAGCACAGAAGTTTCTCAGAAACAAATCACTGTTGCCTTGAAATACATGTAACTCTCCTTCTGTCTCACAGGGAGAATGGGTGTTTGGCCACGCTGGTGGCCTTCACTGGGAAGTGAAGGTTGATGTGGCCTTCCTGTGTGAGCCCACTCTTCTAGGGATAGCAGGAGCATGGTGCTCTGGGGCAGAGGCCTAAGTGGGGGGCCACACAGATGGAGTTGGAATCCTACTGTTGCTACCTATTAGCTATTAGGCCTTTTCAAAACTCATTTTTTTAAAGCAACAAAATAGTTAATAATGCTAGACTTTGTAGGTTGTTGTAAATATTAAAAACAACAATTGCTACCATTTATTGAGTACATAGGTTGTACCAGGGGCCCTGCCAAGAAATTATCATCAATGGTGTCATTTCATTCTCATCGTAATATGTGGAATAGTGCTATGATTTGAATGTGGTCTGTCCCCACCAGAACTCACTGTGAAGTCTCATTGCACATGCATCAGTCTAGGGAGGTGGGCTTGGCGGGGAGGGTGTTTGGGTCATGGGGGCAGATCTCGCATGCGTAGTTCAATGCTGTCCGACTGGAATGAGTTCTTGCCCTTGGATTAGTTCCCACAAGAGCAAGCTGTTATAAAGCAAGTTTCTTTCTCCTGTTGGGTCCCACTTTTCACATACCTATTTTCCTGTGCAATTCTGCACCGTGTTATGAAGCAGCCCAAAGCCCTCACCAGGAGCCAAGCAGACGTGGTACATCCTCTTGGATTTACCAGTCACCAGAATGGCGAGCCAAATAAGCCTCTTTTCTTTATAAATTACCCAGCCACAGGTATTCTGTTACAGCAACACAAAATGGACTAAGGCAAGTAGGAATTATCATTTCCATATTAAAGAGGAGGAAGCTGAGGTATTGCCTCTGGTCACAAAGCTTACTTGCATCAGGTCTGTGACTCCAGATTCTCAGAGAGATAATGTGAGATCAAAGTGGGAGCTGGTGCTTAAGAAACGTTTGTCCTCTGTCCCCCCATGTACATCCGGTGGCTTTGCTAGATCTCTGGTTTCTGCAATAGATCTTGGTAAGTTAACGCTCTGTAGAGCACATCTGTCATACTGCCCTCATGTGGTTCGTTTGGGTAATAGTGGTTTTTAATAAACATTTAATTAAAATGTAATATGTGCAAAATAAGCATTATTTAAACTGTGTCTATAAAATCACGTAAGTGTGTGGATACTTTTGGAGCTCTGTCTGATTCTGTAACCTAGTATACGAGAAATAGCACATTTTGGTTTCTACAGTCCAACTTAATACCTAACTCTGAGCCCACTTGGCTGGTGAGGTCTTAACTTCAGTGACTCCAGGGGCTTCTAACACTGTCTTTGCCAGTGTTCCCTGTCCCCGCTTGTCTTGGAAGAGAAACCTTCTCTTCCCTGGCATTGCACATGATGAAGCTTTATCTCACCATCTAGTCAAGAAGGGAGGAGTTTTCCTTGCAATTCTTTTTTCCACCCAATTGCTCTGTTTACAGAGATAATTATAAACCACTGGAGGAATCCTCAACTTTCACACTTAACAAAGAGCTCAGCTGACCAGGGAGCAGAATGTTAATTCAATTACCAGTTTAAATGCTAGAACACTTTTCCAAAAGAAAAACCAAAAGATCTGTCCCTACTTACCAGGAACTTAATATTACTAATGACTTGAAACTCACTCCAAGTTTTCTTTTCACATATGGTCAGGGCCCCAACTTCCACAGACTTGTTCTCCTGTGCTATACAAAGTTACACACATACATTTGAAACTTAGTTGCTGGGCACAGGGATCTCTTCAAAGCACATACCATCAGAGGACAGCCTTGTTTCTCAATGGCTCTATACGTGGAGGATTTATAGGTCTCATGTCAGATATGTGCCATCTTGGACCTCGGTTATGGCTGTGTGATAGATGGCAGTGTCAGGTGGGACAGGGCCGTTAGTATGGAGGGACAAGGAGTTATCTTATTCCTTAAGCACCATTTGATAATAACATACATAGAAGTCTCCATTCTTAAATGTATTTGAGGGTTAACAGCATGCTCATGCCGAGACCCACTTGTGTTTCAGATAACGGAGGGCAGACTTTGGCAGGGGGCAATAACTGGCCCCTTCGCGGAAGAAAATGGAGCCTGTGGGAAGGAGGTGTCCGAGGGGTGGGCTTTGTGGCAAGCCCCTTGCTGAAACAGAAGGGCGTGAAGAACCGGGAGCTCATCCACATCTCTGACTGGCTGCCTACGCTCGTGAAGCTGGCCGGGGGACACACCAATGGCACCAAGCCTCTGGACGGCTTCGACGTGTGGGAAACTATCAGGTACCTGTAAATCTCCCCTTTTCCTCCCAGAACAGAAACTCCAAGAACAGCTTGACTCCAGCTGAATGAGAATAACTTTTGTGTGAAAATGATAGTTCAGCTTACAAATACAAGATTTTTTTTGTTTTAGAAGTGCCTTTAGAAATATTATAATTAGATATCTATTTTTTAAGTTCTAAATTTGAGATCATGGGTCTGTATTTTACGTGAAGAATAAGATTGCCCTGCCTCTCACCTCTGTAGAAGGTCTATAGCCGAGAAGCTTTGCTTAGAAGTAGGTGAGGGTATTGTTAGCTTTCAGCTGGGGGGTGGGGGGCACCTGCCCTGTTGGCTGCTAGAAGAATGGAGGACCAAGCAGGGGGAAGAGCTGGAACAAGAGCCAAGGATATGTTTAGTTCATTTGTTAGTGGGTATCTAACAAGCAACATGCCACTCCTGTTCAAGGTGCTTAGAAATTAGGAATGAACAAGACAGGCAAGATCCTGGTTCTCAAGGAGCTTATCTTTCAGAAGGGGGAGAAAGTATTAAGCAAGTAAACAGGTAAATAAGCAAGATGACTCCCAAGGTGATAAGAGCTGTGAAGGCATAAAACAGTATGTCATGTTAGGGAGAGCTGGCAGATGCTAAGGAGATAGGGAGCAGGACCTAGACTTAGCTTTTGAAATAGTGGTGGTCCTTTTCCTGCATAGACATCACAGTGCAGAGCAGTGACCCCTGGGGTGAGAAGGCATGTGCCTTAGAAGGTGAGAGGGGCTTCCTTGGAGTGCAGCCAGAGAACTTTTTTTTTTTGATACAGAGTCTCACTATGTCATTTTCTTGGACTTAAGCGATTCTCTTGCCTCAGCCTCCTGAGTAGCTGGGACTGCAGGTGCCCACCGGAATGCCTGGCTATTTTTTGGCTGCAGTTGTCACTGTTGTCTGGCAGGCCCCGGCCGGGTTCGAAGCCGCCAGCTCCCGTGTATGTGGCTGGTACCCTAGCCGCTGAGCTACAGGTGCTGAGCCAACTTTCAGTCTTCTATTTGTATTTAATTTTATCTCATCCTTTTTGAAGTGTATGTTTGATGGTACAGCATATATATTAGTAGATTTGCTCATATTCCTATTTAGAAATACATGTGTACATATTGGAGGTATTGTTTTTACAGGTGGAATGATCATTGTCTGCTCTAATGGTTTTCAGCCTTTGTTTGATGTTATAGCTTAGTGTGGAGTGTTTGCAGCTAATTGGTCCCCTAGTGATCAGGAGAAGACTTTTTCACACCCTTTCTTCTTCATCCCACTCCAGGTGTCCTAGTTCAAAAAATGGTAGGCTTCAGGTTTCTGTTAGTAGGAAATACACAAAAGAGTATTTGGGAGTAAAGAGCAATGATGTATTTAATACGCTAGGAGTTCAGGAAAAAAATTGTGTGTGTGTGTGTGTGTATACAGAGAGAAAGAGAACTCAACTGGACTCCAATATTAACAAACAAAAGATTATAGGTAAAGGGCATAGGTATTCTTTTATTATGTCTTATTTTCACAAAATTTTGTAAACCTGAATTTATTTACAAATAAAAAGTTTTAAAAAATAGGAAGTTCTGGCATCACTGGGCCAACAACTGACTGGAATTAAATAGTTGCTGTCTTCCTTACATGAAGTTTTTTTTGTTGTTGTTTTTTTTTGAGACAGGAGCCTTAAGCTGTACCCCTGAGTAGAGTGCCGTGGCATCACAGCTCATAGCAACCTCCAACTCCTGGGCTCAAGCGAGTCTCCTGCCTCCGCCTCCCGAGTAGCTGGGACCACAGGCGCCTGCCACAACGCCCGGCTATTTTTGGTTGCAGCCGTCATTGTTGTTTGGCAGGCACAGGCTGGATTCAAACCCACCACCCTGGGTGTACATGGCTGGCGCCTTAGCCACTTGAGCTACAGGCACCGAGCCCCTTAGATGAAGTATTTACCCTTCAATCACCAGTCTCCGTTGCTCCCAACTCCCAGCACAGGCCCACTGCACTCATATTGTCCCACCTTCCTAGTCCCTATGGGCATTTAAGTTTACAATCCACCTTGCACATAATCACAGTGTGATTATTAAATTATGTGCCATAATTTAACCAATCCCCAATTATTATCTTTTTACATTATCAATTTTTATATAATTAATACATTTCAAAAAGTAGGGTTTGGCATAAGATTGTCTTATACAAAGGAAGTCTGACAGCTACTAAAGATGAAACATTAAAGTCTTACCAATTTAGGAATGGATGGAGGAAGCGTTCCGCCAGCTGCCCAGCCTCTCACTACGTGGAGTCCATGGGCTTCGAGCTCATGAGTCTCATCCAGAAAGGTGACACTAGGAAGGGTATTCTCTTGCAAACCCGAGGGAAAATCTGATTCAATAGGCTTTATAACGTTCCTTAGATTGTTTTGCAATGCAACGTTTCTCTGTTTTCCTTGGAGAATTTAGCAAATTTTAAAGATCACTTCTCAAGCAGCAAGTTTATAGCAGTGGGTAGTCATTTCATTACTAGCATCCAAGTCATAGAAAAGTTAATGCCGGCTTGGCGCCTGTGGCTCAAGTGGCTAAGGCGCCAGCCACATACACCTAAGGTGGCAGGTTCGAATCCCCAGCCCGGACCTGCCAAACAACAATGATGGCTGCAACCAAAAAATGGCCAGGCGTTGTGGTGGGTGCCTGTGGTCCCAGCTACTTGGGAGGCAGAGGCAGGAGACTCGCTTGAGCCCAGGAGTTGGAGGTTGCTGTGAGCGTGATGCCATGGCACTCTACCCAGGGGGATAGCTTGAGGCTCCGTCTCAAAAAAAAAAAAGAAAAGAAAAGAAAAGAAAAGTTAATGCCACTGAATAACTAGGCAGGAGACAAACAACAAAATCTTGTCTCCCATCACTTATTTTGAACTCATTATTTGCTCATTCATATGGGATGACTTGTTTTCTCTTTCTTTAAAATATTTCTGCTTCTATTCATGACCTAAATTTGTTATGTTTAACTTCAATTTAACTTAATATCCCCAAGTGTCAGTAATGTATGCTCATTGCAGATAATTTACAAACTATAAAAAATAAAAATAAGCATCCAAATGCCACCTGAAAATAGCTACTGTAAATTTTTTTCCTACATAGTTCTTCGCCATTTCACAGATCATGGGTTTTCTTTGGAGGGGGAGTTGTTTTAAGAGACAAGGTCTTGCTGTGTTGTCCAGGCAGGAGTACAGTGGTATGGTCGTAGCTCACTGTAACTTCAAACTCCTGGGCTCAAGCAATCCTCCTGTCTCAGCCTTCAAGTAGTTCGAGGACTACAGGCATGAGCCACCACACTCAGCTGAGTTTTAAATTGTTTTGGTAGAAATAGGATCTCACTATATTGCCAGTCTTGAACTCCTGGCCTCAAGCGATCTTCCTGCCTCAGCTTCCCAAAGTGCTGGAATTACAGGCATGAACTAGTGTGTTCAGCTCAAATCATTGGTTTTTTATATCATCCAAGAAACTCATAAACACTCTTACACTGACTGCATATTCAATCATATGGATGTAACTATGTAACCATTTCTTTAACTTTGATTTTTTTATTTATCTAAATGATAATACTAGAATGAACTATTTATACATAAAATCATTGTCTGCATTTTATATTTTTTCCCTTAAATATAAGTGATATGAAATGTGATTGTCGAACTAAAGAAAGTGACCCTTTTAAAAGCACTTTATGTACATTACACAGTTGCTTTCCAAAAAAAACTGTACCAAGGTACTCTTATTCCATTGATGCACCATCCTCATAGGTTTTTCTTAGATTTAAAAAAATCTTTGCTGACAAAGCAGTTTTGTTTAACTTGATATTTTATTATTAAAGAGATTAATTTTAACTGTTTATATTCCATTCATACTTTCTGTTTTGGATATATTCACTTCATGTCTTTTTATATTAATTTATTGAAGAATGTGGATCTTGCTGATTTATTTCCTTTATGTCAAGTTGTTTGACTATTTATTGCAAATCTTTTTCCTATCTTAAATTTTGTCGATGTTTTTGACATGGATATCTTCCTCATGTGAATCATGAACTTATGGAAAAAAGTACCTAATCATATGCACAAAAATCTAGATAGAACTTACTTTATGATATTAGAAATTGATTACATGTTCTTTTCTATGTGATTACAAGTTGAAAATTATGAAGAAAACATTCTTTTTGTTGTTGTTGTTGTTGTTGCAGTTTGGCCGGGGCCGGGTTCGAACCCACCATCCTCCGTATATGGGGCCGGTGCCCTATTCACTGAGCCACAGGTGCCGCCTAAAAAAAACATTCTTTACAAAAACCTATAGATCTCTTGCTAATTTTAACACAAAACTTAACTCTCACTCATGATAAAAAGGAAATGAAACAAAAATCCCCCAGCAAGGCAAAATTTAAACTTTAATTCAGGTTATCACCAACTTCCAGTGCAAATTAAAGGCTGTAGGTTTGGCATAAAATAGGAGAAAAGTCTGAATGGTTTTGTTATAACAATACGTGCAGCATATCCAATCAGTTTTCATTTTTGTTTTGTGTGTGTTTTGGTGCCAAAAATGTTAAAACCCCGGTTTATAAAACCACACAGTAGCAAATGGAATCAAAGCTCTATAGCATACTTCACAAGAAGAAAGTAGGCTGGAACCAAGAAGCAATTGCATTCATTATTAGTTATTTCCTTTGTCCTCAGTTTACTGGGATTATTATCTCTGACAGCACTCACATCGTTGATGTTTCTCCATGTTGCCCAATTTTGGATTGTAAATACACACTTCAGTTTTAAGATTATCCTGAACAGAAGCAACCTTTCAAGAGTTTAGCTCATGTTTGCTTCTGCCTACGGAGAAATGGGGAAAGTTTGGTCACCTTTAGCTCCAAATTGCAGGTGTTTTTCAGTGTTAGAATATTCTCCTAGTGACCAGTCTATTATGGAACATCTCTTTGTTCTTCAACAGTATGTACACAATGGTGACTGCAGGGCTTTAACCACAA